TTTTTTCTTTTTTTTTATTCTGGGCCAGCTTTAGCTTTGAGGCTTGGCTCCAGCTCTTAGGCCTCCGCGGCTGAAAGTAGGTTTCTGGCCTTTGCTTACAATGTTGCGAATCTGCTGGCTGAAGTCCGGCGGTATTTGTTACAGAGTTTCTTAAACTGCAGGCTCAGAGGTCTGCAGCCGCAGGCGGGGAATGTTGGTTTCCTCCGTCACTGAGGCAACCAAGCCTCATGTTAGTTTCAAGCTGCCTGGCTGCCGGCCGCCATCTTGGCTGACAGTTAATTTGCATATCTCGCTGATTAGCCAATGAAAAGGGTAGCGGTCGTAAGCCAATTACCATGTTTCTCTTTTATTAGTGTAGATGTTATCTGTATAATCAAATATATGTTTGTTCATAAAAAAGAACCCCAAGGTAAAAATGAGGATTAACCCAAGAGGATAAATGGCTAAAAGAAAGAATTTAAGTTGACAGCCAAGGTCACAAAGGACAGGTTGGTGGCAGTAGAGGCCCCAGAAGCTTCCACTCAACTCCATATACATCAGCCTACCTCATAAATGTGAAGTATGCCACAGCACATCCAGAATGATGGCAAGGCAGATGCCCTTCTTTCTGAGAGGAAGGTCAGAGAGGGATGTGGGAGGTGCTCTCCAGAAAAGTGACAGGTGGCCTTACTCCTTTTCTCTGCTTGACCCCACTTCAGACAAGCTTCTCCCACTTCTAAGCCCCGGACCTCCTCTTCTTTAGAGCATCTACTTTAGAAAAGTTGTCAATTCCTTCTCTGCCTTTTGAAATGGATATGTATCTTCACCAAGCCCCTTGCTACCCTAGACACATAAGCCTAGACACACCTTTCCCAAGGATGTGGACACCATCTCTTTGAAATATAATCATCAATATAGACAGCACTCCCATCTCCCAGTCTCCATAGTGGGGTGGGCGCCTTGCTTGCATTGTCCAACTACCTCCTTTATGAAGATAAGAGAAAGCTTAGTTTTCCTATGGATAAGGCCAATTAGCAAACACAGATGGCCTATGATCCCATTCACCTCAGCTCTTAAAAACTCTCCAGACTGGCCAGTGTTGCACAGTGGTTGAGCAACAACCCATGAACCCTCAGGTCACAGTCAGGGCACATACCTGGGTTGCAGGCTCGATACCCAGTAGGGTGTGTGGGCAGGAGACAGACAATCAATGACTTTCTCTCATCATTGATGTTTCTATCTCTCTCCCCTTCTCCCTTCCTCTCTGAAATCAATAAAAACATTAAAAAAAAAACCACTTCTCCAACATTTTGTTTCAGCAGAATTAAACCAATAGGCATCTCTCTCCTGTTGCAATAGTGTTGAATGAAGTTTTCTTTACCTGTTGAACTTTGGCAAGGTGCCATTTTGCTTCAACAAGCACTTTTCTTATAGATCCAATCTTGTCATTGTTTTTGCTTTGCAGGAAATATTTTCATGCATGAGGTGGTTGCTTTCTCTCTCTCTCTCTCTCTCTCTCTCTCTCTCTCTCTCTCTCTCTCTCTCCCTCCCTCCCTCCCTCCCTCCCTCCCTCCCTCCCTCCTCATGTAATATGCTTGTGCATTTACCCAGGGAAGGGGAAACTCTATTTGGGCAATAAGTATACTCTGAATGACACTTGAGTCTCAATTGCTCAAGCTTTCCTCTGTGACTTCCTGCATGAGAGTCTCACACTCTGCACATAATGAGTTTTCCTCTTCTGGCTCAAAAGCTGCAGTGTTACTTACTTCAGTGTGAAGAGTGTTGTGTTCTGAGTGTGGCTAGCCCCTCTGGGAGGGAGGGTGGCAGCAATTCTCAGACAAAAGGACCCAACCCTTCCTTGTGGCTCATTGAATTGCAATGCTTCTGTTCCCGCTGAAATTCTAAGTGGAAGCAATAGCCCCCTAGAAGAAAATGTCCCAACCCTTGCTCCTTTTGACCTGCTGCTGATACGGTACCATGGAGATGCCAACATGCCGGTGCCTGAGTAAGAGGACCCAGAAACTGGGAAATGCACAGCAGAGGGAAGAAAAAATAGAAAGAGAAACAATGAGCATAACAGATGGCTCACTGAACAGAAGAGACAATCAAAATATAATAAAAGACAATTTATTCCCAACAAAGTTCCTTCTATCTACACGATGGAATGGTGTATTTCACACAATAGTTACACTTCTGTTCTCTGAAAAATCTATGCTATAATTCACATTTATAGAGCATTTAGTATCTACATACAATTGAATCCTATTCTCGGATTCAAAATATAACATCCCTGCCCTGACCAGTTTGGCTCAGTGGATAGAGCGTCAGCCTGCGGACTGGGGGGTCCGGGGTTCGATTCCGGTCAAGGGCATGTACTTTGGTTGTGGGCACATCCCCAGTGGGAGGTGTGCAGGAGGCAGCTGATTGATGTTTCTCTCTCTTCAATGTTTCTAACTATCTCTCTTCCTTCCTCTCTGTAAAAAATCAATAAAATATATATTTAAAAATATATATATATATATATATATAACATCCCTATAAAGAAGTTAATAAGCAATATTAAAAGTGTGTGTGGCCCTAAATTATCAAATCCTTTAAAATCCAGGTTACCTAAAGCAAGGTATATTAATGGTATTGGGTGGAGCAGAAGGAAATAATAGGAAAGAGGAGAGCTAAGCTGATGCCTCCACCCCAAAGAGAAGAGATGTGCCAGAAAGAAAATCTGAAGGAGGGTGTTACGAATAACGCCAAGGAATAAAGTTCCAGGGTAGAAACTGCTCAGCAAGGTAAAAGCAAAAAGCAGAGAGAGGCCTCTCCAGAAACAAGGAGGAAAACCTAAGTGAGTTCAAAATCTGTTTTCTCATTAATAAAGGACTTGCATATAAAGATCATCTTCTTTTAAAATAGCTGGGAGACTAGTGATAGAAAACATATTTATTCGAGTTTTTAAAAGTCATTTTATATTTGAACGTTTCTTTTAATTTGTAATTAATTTATTTTTATCATCTGAAATGCATGTTTATTTTAAGTGATTTAAAAATCATCTCTATATAGTCATATTAGGTCATCGTTTTTAGGCCAAAAGATGCTGAGAGCTAAAACCAGCTAGACCCACATGCAGTTTGGACACTGGGAAACCAAACACCTTCACTCGCAGAACTAACTGTGAGTTAGTAATATGACTTTGCTATTCTATTGTCTTCATCAGCATAACTTTACTATTCGGAGTCCCTTGCCCAGGCACATAACTTTATTGCTCATAACAGAAACTTCCTTATTTACAGAAATGTCCAACTCTTCAGTACAATACATCATAGGCACTTGTGCCCTACGACTGTTCTGAACCTCTCTCCCTGAATCCTAGCCTTGAATGTTCTAACAATGAGAAACTGCAATATCATGGTCCCTACCCAATTCTAATTAAGCCCTCTTCCTCCCCGCAATGCTCACATTGAAAGATATATCTTAGCTCTACGCCTATATAATAAAAGCCTAATATGCTAAGTGTCCAGTCATCTGGTCGGCCGTACAGAAACTCACCAGGGCAGAAAGCTCTGGATGCCTAGCAAGGGGCAAAACTGGGGAAACAAGAACCTCATTCCCAGGGTAACCTATCTTCCCCTGGCATATCACTGGTCACGTGGTTTGGACCCCCTGATCTTTCATATCACTGGCCAGGCAGTTTAGACGCCCCCCCTTACCTTTTCCTCCCTAAAGATAACATCTAGGCCTCAGTTGTATCTCAGCTCCAGCCCAGAAAACCAGCAAAACCAGACAAGTGACACCTTGGCTGCCTCAGAATCAGCTACATTGACTAATAACCCCTGTCCTGGCACTGACCAATCAGTGGAAATCAGGACCCTTAAAGAGCACACCTGGAAAGCTGACAAATATTCTATCGAGACCCTTCCCTGAGACCTCCCCTAAGATTCCCACCTGCAAGGGAGATAAATATGCTCAGAACAAAGGACCCAGCATAAGCTCTCCCTCCAAGGAGCATGCCCATGCCCTTCCCTCCTTCCCTCTCTTTCCCCCACAGGCGCATATCCCCCAACTTCTAAGGGACCCCATGAAATTGCAACCAGGGGAGCAGCAGCAGCCCATCCTGACCCTGTCTCCAAGCCCCCTTTTCTCTGACTTCCCAGTGAGCTAAAGCAGCCCAGCCCAGGCTCTCCTGTTGCTTCTTCCATGCCCTTCCTTATTGCGCTCTCTTAAGTATATTTTTGCTGCGATCAATAAATTATTGCTTGCTTTCCTTTCATTTTCATTGACCTTAAAATATTTTCTGCATTGACGAAAAGAACCGAAGTCCCAGTTGGTAACCCCAATTGATAACACTTTGTTCTGTGACTTCTCCACAAAATGTTATTGTTCTTTGCTGCAAATGCAATATAAGCCAGAGTTCTAAGCTACTACTTTGCATTACTTATTTTCCCCTGATCTCTCCCAAGTATACAAGAGATATAAATGTTAATAAACTTTTATTGGCTTTTTCTTGTTAATCTGTCTTTATTATAGGATGCTAAGCCAAGAAGGATAGTGGGGAAATTATTCGCCCTACAGAATCAATGAGAGCAAGGGGACATAAAAGTGCAACTTTAGCGGCTTATTGGTCCCGTTGCCTAACAGTGAGGACCTTCCCTGACAGGCAACACTTTCTGAACCGTCCAGCGAACTCTTCCTCTGCCCATCCTCACATTGGTAAAATATAGCAGCAACCATTTATTGCTTAAAATGATACCAACAAAAAGGCATACAGAAAACTGCTTAATTACAAACACCCTCATTTGAAATCTATTCAATGTCCTTTCTAGGATTTTCTATTGCTGTGGAGTTGCTGATTGCAGATTATAAAAGTTTATTATGGATCTAGCCAGTTTGGCTCAGTTTGGTCTGCATCAGCCTGAAGACCAAAGGGTCCCGGGATAGATTCTGGTCAAGGGCACGTACCTTGGTTACAGGCTCTTCCTCAGCCCGGGCCCTGGTTGGGGCTTGTGCAGGAGCAACCAATCGATGTATTTCTCTCACTCGATGTTTCTCTCTGTCTTTTTGTCTCTCTTTCACTCTCCCTAAAAATCAATGGAAAAATATTCTTGGGTGAGGATTACCCAAAACAAAATTATTTGATAAAATAATTTTTGATAAAATTTTTGATAAAAGTTGATCATCTTGTTCCTTAGTATCCTAGAGTACTTTGTATGTCTGAGGGAAAAGGAGAAGAGGTAAAATACCTCCCCTATTTGTTGGTTACAATTTTTGCAATAAAAAAATAAGAACAAAATGATTGTAGTCACCTAGACTTAACATTTTCTTTTAAATGTTAGCACTAATTTCTTGCTATCCTTTTGCTTTGGTAGTAAGGAAAGAGCTTATGAGAGACCAATTGGTTTCTTTCATAAAGCAAATTAGTTCAAATGAAGAGCAATATTATTTTCATTTATAAAACCCAAAGGAGAAAAAAATAGAAAAACATTTGGTCCACTGGTATTGATACTCAATGGTTGGGGTGATATCATTGTCAAACTAAACCCCTGGGCTGACTCAGTTTTTAAGAAGCCAAAATCCATCGATTGAGGAACCATGAAGAAGCAATTGCATGACAAGGAATGTTGATGGGTTGCTTGGTATATTTTGTAGCCAATCTGTTCACACATAGGTTTCTATATAGCTGACTCCAGAAAATTCACATCCTAATTCTACTTAGCATTTAGTCTATTCCTCCTCTCAATTATGCCAGCTTTGTCTTAGGGAAGTTTAAATAAAGTGTTTTAGTGAGGAAACAAATGGAAGAACTTACAATAAAATTCTAACACATTACTGGAGGGAAAGAGATGGGCAAAGGATCTCTGAGACACATTAAGGGCCATTAGTTTTACTTAGTGCAGAAGTACATTTCAGTTGTCTCTTTTGATGTGACTGTAAGTACCAGAATTTATTAAGACAGCATCAAGTAAAAACTGGGACTGGATATATAAAATTGATATGGTAATTACTCTTACATGGCTTATCATGCCGATAAACATCATAAACACAGGTAGCGTGATGAATGACAAGCATTCTATCACAGGAAAGCTGGCTAGATTAGTTTCATGGGATTATTTAAAATGTGTTGCTCTAATAAAGTGGGAAGAAATATGTGAATAAAAATTCTCCCCAGAAGCCATTATAAATAATGCATGCAAGATGTTTTAAAAATCGGTACAGCTTTCCATTTAAATTGGGTGTAATTTTTTTCCCCACTGCACCTCCTTTTTCTCAAATTAGCCTGTGTGCTGTGACCACACCAGGTATCCTGAGGTCTGAAAGTCAGTAACACAGTACTGTTTCTATTAATGAAGGGCATGTATTCCTTTAGGTTTCAAAACTTTATCATCAATGGGGTGGGAAGTCCTAGACTATGCAGGTGGGAAGTCTTAGTCAACATTTTCCTTGTTAAAGTGGAAACAGTGCTCTATTGAGGGAGCCGCCTGTTCCCAGCACATCTCTATGTCCCCTTCCCCAATCCAAGTCTGGCTTGCTTATTAGCTAGACTGAAACCTTAGTTATGATGGCCTCAGATTTAGAAGAACTCAGTGTACATTCTAATCTTCTAATCGCGCCAGGCGTCATTAAGTCAATCACATAAACGTGTCAAGGTCTCACTTCCTTCACACAAGGAGAGGGATGGTATCTTTCAACTCTGGTGACCCATAATTCATACTGGAAATAAGATTGCAGATATCCTTACCGACACAGTGAAGATAATTTATTGCAGGGAGAACTGCACTTGATTGCAGCTTCCCGCTGTTGCACTAACAAAGCCAGAGTGTATGAGGACAACTCTGTTGGGAGGAAAAACTTCTTCCTTTTTCCTCTTTCACCTTCAGTCCAGGAGTTGGGGGGTCTACAAATTAATGACAACAGACAGATTAACAGGAGGAAAAAGGAGGTTTATGTACACGTGCCCAGGGGAGGTGCTTCACAGGAGTATGTTGTGAAGGAGCCCTCGGTAAAGGTGTAGGTATACATGTCAACTTAACATAAGAGGGTCTGGGGGCCTCCAAAAGGAGAGTGTGGAAGATTCTGTTGTAGATGGTGGGATGACACCATTTGTCTGACGAGGGGGGTCAGACCAAACCTGGGTTCAGCAACCTGGGTACTTGGGTCCTGGCTAGGGAAGAATTCAAAGTTCAGACCCAAACTGTAAGAGAACATTTTTTGGGTAAATTACAGAGGGAGAGAAAGTAATTCCTAGGAGAAATGGGCTTAGCAAACAAGTCCTAGGGGTCAAGAAAGGGCCCTTGGAGCTTGGGAGTGAGGAAGCGAATGGTGAAGTGCCTGGGGAGGGGAGAGAAGAGGGAAAGGGAAAAGCACAGGCGTGCTCCCAGAGGGAGAGCATACCGCGTCCTCCATCCTAAGGATTTTAAGGGCAGAGGTTTTAGGGGTGGTTGCAGGGAAAGATCTTAATAAAATATTCAGCAGTTTTTCAGGTGTGTCTTTTCAGGGTCTAGGTCTCCACTGATTAATTCGCCGGCACCAGGGCAGGGGGCCCCTGAAGCTGGTCCTGAGGTCAACCATGGCTGGTTGTGTTGCTTATCTGGGCCGGGAGCTGAAATACAACTGAGGCCTAGATGCTATTTCTAGGGAAGAAAGGTCAAGTGATCCAAACATTAAGACCATGGATGTGCTATGGGAGGAAAGGGCAGCTCGGGGCGCATCCTCCTGCTCTGCTCATGTCTGACTAACTGACTACAGCAATTCTACTGGGGTTTGTTGTCTGTGTGTGTGTGTGTGTGTGTGTGTGTGTGTGTGTGTGTTTGTTTGTTTTTTGTTTCTTTGTTTGTTTTTAGGTACTAATGAGAATGAGCAGTCTGTTTTCAAGGCAGCTGAATATGCAAGAAATGTCCTTGTGTGGGAATTCATAGCAGTTGTATTTTCTAGAATCTCAACTTAGGCAGATAAGATTTTTTTCTGATCTTCTGTAGCTCAAATATTGCCACTTTAAAATAATCTTGACACCAACTCTTAGGGCCTGAGTCTGTCTAAACAGCTTTCTTTCCACAGATTCCAATAACTCAATCTTGCATTTATTTTTATTTTCCAGAAGGGCAGTGACCATAAAAATGGCCCACTGCTGGAAGGAATATCTTTTAAAGCTTTTTGCTTGGACTTTTATTTGAATTTAAAACAGAGACCAACTAGGCTGTATATGTGATTTGAAAATAATTACACAGCTTGCGGCCACATTAAGTTTGGAGAATTTGTTTTGAATCACTTTTAGGAAAAGAGAAAGAGACCTAAGTTTCTTTTATTAAAATTTATGTAATTCATATATATATATATATATATATATATATATATACACACACACACACACACACGCACACACACACACACGCACACACACACAAATTGATATTACCTTTTTAATAATATGTAAGTTATACCACGTTCATTTGTCTTGCTAATATTTTAGGTTTCAGCCCTGTGTTTGCAAGGTTGGTGATTTTACCAGTTTGGGTTTATCCTGAGTCACTATAAAACTTAAAGAACAACAAAGATATTTTTCCCATTCACTCTGTCTTCCATTCCTCTAGGCCACAGATGATGTGTTTACAGCCTTTAATATATAGCTCATTTCTTTTTATACTGATCAAGGTCACTACTATCTTTTTAATCAAATGGTTGATATATGAAGCTACTTCTAATCTTGTGGAATGATGCAGGAACCGGAGAAACTGACAGATAAAATTTAGGTCTCACTTCAGGACAAAACACAAAAAGAGAACTCAAATGATGACAAGAATTTCAATGAACATAAATTGATTTTCTTTAAGGTATTTTATAAACTCACTATACATGAATGAGCTTATTGTGTGGAGGTGGGGAGGGTCCATAAATGTTTTCAATTCACAAACATCCATTAAATAAATATGAATATATGATCACTAATGACAACACTGACACACAATTAAAAACCTAAGACACGCCCAACACTTTAATTCTGAGAATGTAAAATATGACCCATTATTTCAGGAAGCCTAAAGTCAAGTTTAAATGCAAGATAGATACAGGACAGAAAATACAATGAAAGGAGACAGCTCAAAGTGTGCAATAGTTCCTTGCACAAATTAGTACTCAATGAATATTACCATGATAATCAAAATGATAGTGGTAATGATCCTAAGTGTCCAATGAGTTAAAAAGACATTCTTATAGACATTACAAAATGGCACATGGGCAGTGGCACTATGGCAAGACTTCATAGTAAAAAAGATAGGAATTAGATCATTGGAAAATGAGGAGAAGAAATTGTGTGTAGGTGGTTGGCATCTAAGCAAAGTCATATAAGAAAATACATTGTATTAGTTGGGCATGAGAAAGCCCATTGCCTAGGAAAACCAAAAAGATAGAGAGATAGATAAGGTCAAGGTTGTGGGATATTTTAAGGCTCTGGCCTCAGTTTGATGTTTATTCTGAATGTAGTTGGGAATCATCCAAAGTTTGTGAATAGGAAGGATGACAATGACAAGAGTCATGATTGGAAGAGCCTTGCAATGATACCCTGTTAGACTGAAAAGAGACCAGAAGCAGTATGCCAATTAGATTATGTACATATGAATTAAGTAATATAATGTTTGAACAAATATTACATATCTTTGAAAGTCACTCTAGAGGAAGAAAAATGTTAAGAGATGGTCACTTTCCCCAAACAGTCTGTTATCTCTCTGAGGGGAGAGGTTTACATACAAGAAATAGACATAGAATGATAAATCAGATAAAATATAATAATATATTTAATTAAACTGTGTGCATTATAAGTAAAACAGATCAGAGAAAGAGAACATGGGGAAGGCTTCATGAACAAAGTGAGATTTGAAATTGTTCTGGAGTGATGAGTCAGGTCTAAGTGGCCAAAAAAGGAATGGGGGTGGGGGAGGAGACATTTTGATGGAGACACATCACAAGCAAAAGTATAAAGATATCAATAAGAATAGCATGCGGTTGGAGCAATAAACATAAAGAATGAGTTGCTGATAAACCTATGCATGGGTTAAAGAAGAGTGGATACACAAATCAGTTCTAATGAGATGCCCAAATGGAATGACTAGTATAGATCATTATGTGTCCATTGTCTAATTATTTAATGCCAGGTGCTGCTCTCATATTTTCAGATGTGGGTGTGTTTAGTGCTCACATCAACCAAGTGAAGTTGATATTATCTCCAACATGAAGATGCAGAAACTGAGGCTTGCAAAGCTGAGATTAGAAAACAGGAATTCAGCAAACATACTTGAGCCTCCGCCAGTGCCAGAGTGCCAGTTATTACAGATAGTCTTTGAATTTAGATCGGTTTCACTCACAAGACCCCATAATTCTCTCTACCCCATGTTAGATCTGTCTATTCAGCAACTTGAGTCTCATCATAGAGTTTCGTATTCACTGACTGGCAGGAGGACACCACTGTCAAAATGTCAAGTTCATGCGAGTATCACATCTCCAAGTTGCCTAAAGCAGATTTTCCAGTTTTTTGTTAACAGAGTTGTCCCTTTTATCGCATTCTTTAAAAAAGTCTTTCTTAGCCATAGAAGCGGTTTCTAAAACTGGAGTTATAAATGGGGCCATAAGCCATAAGCCAGTGCTTTGCAATTCAGATGATATCATTAGAAGGCGGCAGCGACATTCTGTCTCAGACCCCTCATGTGAAGGGTGGCTCACACTCCATGGGGTACAAACCCAAGCTGAGACTCCTCAGAAAGAGCACGCTGGTGGGACGATATTGCAGAGGTTTCGGGGAGAAAACAATCCCCCATAACATCATCGCAGAGCTATCTGGAGAAAACCATAATGGGCTTAAATGAGATTTAAATTAACTGGATACAAGCTTGCAGCGGCAATTATAAGGGCCTTTTAGCTAACAAGAAAATAAGGCCAGAGAATAGCTATGTTTAAAACTTCCTTCCAAAAAGTGGCAGCTCTATATAGATAGATAGATAGATAGATAGATAGATAGATAGATAGATAGATAGACAAATAGGTAGGTAGGTAGATAGATGATAGATACATAAATAGATAGAGATAGGTGCTGATATCAAAGCAGCTGAATACACCCCCAAAATATGCCACCTTGATATATTGATTATTTTGAGCTGTAGGCACTTGGAAAACAGCAAATGCAGGGAGAGGCTTCCTCTGAACTCCCCTGATCTGTGTAAAGATTGGGCCTTCAACAGGTACTCAGTTATCATAATTCTCCTTCCTGCTACTTTCATCAACCAGGGAGCATTGATTCTTGTCACAGGAAAGGGGACTAGAAGCCCACACCACACCCAGGCAAGCTCTGTCACAAGCTATCATGCCTCCCACCTATTCTCAGGCTCAATTCATCTTTCCTAAAAGCCATTGCTTTTCCCCAAAGAGACTGACATCCCCCTCCCTTTCCTCATTAAGATGCTATTTCAGTCCACATGCTAAGCACCTTGGTGAGTTGCTCATTTTTCCCATTATGTATGAGGCATATATGTTAATCAACTTCTATTTGCTTTTCCCTTGTTTATCTCTCTTTTATTACTGGGGATTCAGCTAAGGACTCAGAAAAAGAGAGAAAAAAAATACTTTTCCTCCCCTATAATATCTTTATCTACATATCTACATCTATAGACACACCCACACACACACACACACACACACACACACACACACACGTCATTTGCTGCTGATTTGGCTGCAAAAATGATACCTTACAGGAAGATTATTTTAAAAAGCATATAATACCTCATTTCAGCCAAGCCAAATACAAACACAGAATATTAGGCAAAAGCCTACTAAGACTAACACAGTCAGATTATTATTTGCTTATTTAATTGAATCTTCAGGGGATGCTTGCCTTCAAACTTCAATGTCAATCAACTTAATGCAGTGGGAAGAACATGGTAACTGGAGTTTAAATGGGATTCCAACAATCACCACTGATGAGTAACAGTAACTGTAGCAAGTTACTTATTACCTTACCCTACATTGTATAATCTACAAAATGGGGTACAACTACTAGGTTTCATGATTTTTATGAATAATAATTGAAATCAAATGAAGTGATTAGTTCAGGGTGTGCAATGAATACCACGCCCACTGACCTTGTCTGTGGTTGTTTTGACCTTGTCTGTGGTTTTCTTGTTTAGGATCCCTAAGAAGCAGACCCTGAGATAAGGATTTAGGTGTCAACAGAAATTTTGGAGGTGAAACCTGGAAACATAGGGAAGGGGAGAAGGAAAACACGGAATGAGGCCGCTAATGACCATGTTATCAAACGATCATGCTCTGGATAAATGGTGCTCAATCCCACTATGGCAATCTAGTAGAAAAAATAGAACACACTTTACAATTATCCCAAAGGAGAGGCAAGGACGCTGGGATGTTTATCCTTCTACACCCCACCTGTCATAGGCTAAAGGATGCTTACTTGTGCATTAACTGTTTGGCATTCTATGGCTTGCCGTCTATGGTAGCCTGTGGTATTCCCCTTGGCCAGAAAAGGAAGGCAGGAAGGCAGGCAAAAAGAAAAAGAAAAGAAAAGAAAAGAAAAGAAAAGAAAAGAAAAGAAAAGAAAAGAAAAGAAAAGAAAAGAAAAGAAAAGAAAAGAAAAGAAAAGAAAAAGAAAAGAGAGAGAGAGAGAGAGAGAGAGAGAGAGAAAGAAAGAAAGAAAGAAAGAAAGAAAGAAAGAAAGAAAGAAAGAAAGAAAGAAAGAAAAGAGGAAGGAAGGAAGGAAGGAAGGAAGGAAGGAAGGAAGGAAGGAAGGAAGGAAGGAAGGGAGGAGGGAGGGAGGGAGGGAGGGAGGGAGGGAGGGAGGGAGGGAGGAGGAAGGAAGGAAGGAAGGAAGGAGAGAGAGAGGGAGAGAGAGAGAGAGAGAGAGAGAGAGAGAGAGAGAGAGAGAGAGGAGGGAAAGGAAGGAAAGAAGAAAGGGGAGGGAGTAAGGAAGGAAATAAGGAAGGAAGGAAGGAAGGAAGGAAGGAAGGAAGGAAGGAAGGAAGGAAGGGAGGGAGGGAGGGAGGGAGGGAGGGAGGGAGGGAGGAAGGAAGGAAGGGAAAGGAATGAAGGAAGAAGACAGTTTTTAGGCACAGAGACTCATGGGTGGTCACAGAGCTAAACTCCTTCACAACTGAGGGAGGTGAAAACCAAGAGGATGTACAGGGCAGCACAGCATCTGCTAGAGCAGTGGTTCTCAACCTTCTGGCCCTTTAAATACAGTTCCTCATGTTGTGACCCAACCATAAAATTATTTTCATTGCTACTTCATAACTGTAATGTTGCTACTGTTATGAATCGTAATGTAAATATCTGATATGCAGGATGGTCTTAGGCGACCCCTGTGAAAGGGTTGTTCGACCGCCAAAGGGGTCGCGACCCACAGGTTGAGACCTCTGTGCTAGAGGGACATATAGAAAAATTCTCTCAAACGGCCCCCTTTCCAAGAATTTGCCAAAATTTGACTCCTCTAAATTCATATGTACAGCAACAATGACAGTTTACTGATTTATCCCATGCTCCCAGGGCATAGTAGGCATTTAATATCTATTTTCATTTATCTTATAATCTATAACATTTATTCTTCACTTACAAAGAACCAGGATCTCTGATAAATGATTGTAGACACATTACTGATATATTATTTCATTTGATCATTACTGTCCTATTATCTCCATTTACTAGAGAAGAAAAAAGGATAAGAGAGGTTAGAAAATATGCTCAAAGCCATGCAATGAATCTGACTCCAAAACCCATATGCTTTGTCACAAATTTACCATAGTAAGCTAACTATTAATATAAGGAAAAAGGCAAAGAGAATCAGATATTGTTGAGTCTAAGGGGCTGGGGAGCATGAGCCTGTTTGCTTTACCACTTCATACACTCCAGGGGAATCACAGCATTGCCCCTCCAAGGATTAACACCCCTCCCCATCCCTTCCCCCTCCAATACCAAATTGTCAGGAGGTGAGCACATGTGCAATAGAAGTCAAAATGGCAAAGGGGGAGGTGCTTGATCCTAGAGGCCTGTCCGTCTAACCTGGGATAGGGCTCACTGTTCAGGGGGTGGAGCTATCAGAAGCCCATGAAAGCTTGGGAAGTCGATTAGTTGTTTTGAAAAGCTCCTGGTTCTTTCCAAGCCCAAGATAATACAAACCCATCTTAACAAAAAAGTTCTCTCTCATTCAAGAACATATGACCATGTCGGTCCAGGAGCCAACTGGGGCCTGCAGCAGGTCATGCCAGCTCCAAAGGACTAAGCTTTAATATGAAGCAAAACTCTGGACACTGGCCTTTCTGTTGGCCTTGCTGAAGACAAGATTGGACTTTTTCCATGGAGGGACAGAGTGCAATGGAACATTGGGAACCCAGGAGGGGCACTCTTTTTATTTTGCATCAAGCACCCAAATGAATCTTGCCACACCACAGTCTCCCATGCATGGGTCCTTGGAATGCTTTCCTCACAATCCTGGGAAAGAACGTGATTTCCATCAGCAACAATATTGCCTTTCTCCCAACTCTCACTCCCTTGCAGACCTTGTTCACTCTCACACCTTGAGCAATCACCTTGTTAGATAACACCAAAATCATAATCTATAGTCCTCCCTCTTTGGATGTCATATGATGCCCTCCAATGAAAGCTCCCTAAAGTGAAGCCCTTCTCTTCCTGCACAGATTCATTTGTGGATAAATTGTGTCAAGAGAATCAGGCTCAAATCCTCTTAGCCATTCTGTGGCTGCTCACCCTCCAGAGCACCATAATGACAAATGTTTTCATTTATACTACCAATCCTTTAATTGATTCCCTGCTATGTACCAACAACCCAAAAGACTTGGTCTTAGGAAGAATCCTCTTATAAAGATTTGTATAAGTCTAGATGCTAATCTGGACATAAATATCTTGCAGGAGACAAGAGTTAAGAACCACATATGAGATACAAATGTGTGAAAAATTGGATGGCACAATTATCAAATTCTCTGCTATCTTTTGTGACTCTTTTTCCTCTGCCTTCATAGGGCCCATTATTTCAGGGTAGGCTCCCATCTTAAAAATAAGAATATATTTTAATTGCATGTCATGGCTGTTAACTATCATCTTGGACTCATCTATAATAATAAAAGCATAATATGCAAATTGACCGAATGACTGAACAGCAGAACAGCCATCCGGATGACCTTCTGGACCACCATGCTATGACATGCACTAGCGCCAGGCCAGCCAAGGCAGGTGAGATGCAATTGGTCAGGGCCCAGAATCATCCAGAACACCCTTTGTGGGGTGATCAAGATGGGGGGAGCTCTGTGATCAATTTCCCCAAAGAGGGAGGTCCAGGCCACCCAGCTGGCAGCGCTGTGATGGGTGGGCAGGGCCTCCCTCTACAGGGTGATTAATCTGGGGGCCCCGTGATCGATCGCCCCACAGAGGGAGGCCGAGGCCAGCCAAGCAATCACACCCCATGCCTGTCACCAGCAGAGGAAGGTGACTGGTGGAGGGGAAGAGGGGGCAGAACCACACAGATGGCAAGCAGTGGCAGTGGCGGGGGCGGGGCCAGCTGCCAGCAGCCAGGGGAAGGAAAGTTCCAATAGGACCTGATCGCCCACCAGGCTAAGGAACCCTACCTGGGGGGTCCCAGATTGTGAGAGGGTACAGGCCTGGCTGAGGGACACCCCCTCCTCCCTCCTGTGCACAAATTTCATGCACTATGTCTCTAGTTTGTGGAATAAACTCTGTCATGCAATGAGTAGCTGAAGGTTACGTTACTTATTACTGCTTTAGGCCTGGCTAGACCTGCCCTACTTCTCAGAAAAGTTTGAGGTAAACTTTACTATTTGCCAGTCTCTTTTCAGGCTTAGAAACTGGAGGAACATCTTGTTTTAAGCTTTTTGATAATTCAGTACTTGAGAATTTTAGATCTAAAAAGCCCTTTAAATCTTAAGTACCTGAAAATCTATAAGAAAACCATTTATCACCAAATGGGGTCAATGTCATCAAGATGAAACTACTGGCAATAACACCATGTAGCATTGGTGTTATTGAACTACAGCTATTTATTGTTTGCTGTAGATGAGAGTAGTCTGGGCATGGTGGGTGCAGAAGGCAGAGAGATATTCAGAGGCATGTCCCTGGGGGTGGAGGGGTAGGGGCTGTAGAGGGATTTTATGTTCTTGATATAATTTGAAGCATAAATTAAAATTATCCAGGGCAACTGTTGTCTCTCTTCTCCATTCAGAACTCAGAATTACCCAAGATTTTACTTGGACCTGCTAAACAAAGGAGAGCATGGATCCACCGACCATGACAAAAGTCTCCATCTGGAAATTTATACCTTTTTCACAGAAATTATAATTAATCAGTTCCAAATACAGATAAGCATATGAGTTATTGAGAAAGAATAAGTAAAACCATCCAACATCCAAATCCCTCAGATATTCCAGTCAGTCTTCACATGCCTCAATATTAGGGAAAAAAATACAACATAACTCAGGCACTCACTTAAATAAGACAGATGCCACATGAGCCCCTAAGTTCCATATTCTTCAAATTGTGTCCATTCATTCCAAGTAAAGCCACGAGGTGCTCACATCTGCAGGGTATAAACCCTACTGCAAACCTCTAACACACAATACCTTCATTCACATTCCTTGCCTTGGGACCCATGCCACACTTTCATTTTCAAACATTAGAAGTTATTATACATCAAATGGAAGTTTCAGAAACAAATATAACATTGGCTCTTTACTCACCTACAAAAATTAACAAATAATGATGCCTCTCTCTCTGGAGGCATCCCTCTTCTGAAATCCCTGCACATCCCTCCTATCTTTTTCTTTGTGTTTTTGTATCTACAACTAAATATAGAAATTTTGTCTACTTTTATATATTACTTAAATGAAACTTGAAAGGGTCATTGTACAGCTTGCTTTTTTTCTGTTAACATCTATTCCTGTTGGTACATTTACATCTGACTTTCATTTTTCCTGCTGTGTAGTATTCCATCCTGTGAGTTTATAGAACAAAAAATTAATTATTGTATTGATGTATATCACTATCCAAATAAAATTTTCTAGTAAAGATGTTGCTCTTTTTTTATTCCTATTGTTTTAATGGAGATTGGAATTTTGTCTCCGTATGCTATTTAGCACAGAAAATCTTGTATGATCACAGACATCTACTCACTAGGTACTAGAAGATGGTCATTCAAGTCCAGGATCTGCTTGGATTTGTCATATTCTTCTCTGAACTATAGTTTTCTCAGCTTTAACTGGAGTGAATGAATGTTGGGAAGAAACCCACAACATTCAGAATAGTCACATTTGAGGCTGATGGTTATAAGACTTCAGAATAAAGCAGAGATTAATGAAAATTAATAGCACTTTTTAGATCAAATTACTGTCTCCATTTAGGGCTAGAAAACAAAGACTGCTAAGGTTGCTGTTATGTACACTTAACTGCTGATATAAACAGCCAGCCTATATCATACACAGGTGGAAAAGCAATCAATTATGAGCTGAGTTCTGAGCTGAAGGGTGACAGAAGGTACCCCACCAGCACCCCATACAGACACACAGCAATACCATTACCTCACTTCCCACCAGCTCACCAGAGATCTGAGTTCATCTTTTCCTAGGAACGTTCAGATAAATCTTGGTGACACAATGGATTAATATGACATTGACAGGTTTGTAGAGAAAGACTACACAATCTCAATAAAAGAGTCTTTGCTACCTTGTCTGCATGTCTGTATAATCTTCTTCAGCCTCATTGGCATCCGGTTCACTGTCACTCATTTTACCTTCTTTTAGCACTGGTTGTTTATTTTCCTATACGCCAAGCTTCTTTCCAAGCCAAAGGATTTGCTTATGGTTTTCTCTCAGTTTTTCCCTGCTCTTCACTTGGCCAATTCCTACTCATCTTTCACATTTTAATTTAAAAACTCAGGTTGCTAACTCCAGGTTAGCAACCTTGGCTAGATAATTTTAGAACATCCTATATTCTTCAGTAGCTCTGCAATTTTAGGGAAAATGTTTTAGTGGACTTGTTTACTTGATGCCTTTCTTTCCTACATGATTCTGAGCTGTGCCTGTTTTTTTCTACTCTGTCCAGCACAAGGCCTGCCATGCAAGAGAAACTCAATAAATATTCATTGAATCAATGAAATAAACTTCCCTCACAATGTTGGTCTTATAGTGAATATAGTAAAAGTTACCTGCAGTGTAATGTATGAAAACAAAGACTACCCACTGAACATTTTTTATGATTCTAGATGCAGCATCTGTGAAACACAAGATATGGGAAATTCACAGTTCCTTACCTTCTTCCTCCTACTTCTCTTTGGATTCATCACTGGGTGACGCCTGAGATGCTTTTCTTTTTAAATAAAAATAGGTGTGTTGTGTTCTTTTTCAGTGCATTTTCTAAATTAAAAAGAGAGAAAAATGAGCTAATGTTTCAGATTTCATCCAGTGTGTTTTGTTCTGCGATATTTCCGGTCTGCAGCCTTTTGTCTTATTTCATTCTTGCTACCATACAGCTGTTGTCACAAAAATAGCATAACTTGTTTGGACAGCATTGTTTATCTGCTGTTTACTATCTCTATACAGACATTTGTATCTGTGTTCACTCAGTTTAGAAACCAGGTATGTGTGTGTGTGCGTGTGTGTGTGTGTGTGCGTGTGTGTGTGTGTGTGTGTGTGTGTGTGTGTACATATATATTTAAACTAGAAGCCCAGTGCATGGTTCGTGCACCAGTGGGGTCCCTTGACCTGGCCTGCGGGCATCAGGCCAAAACCAGTTCTCTGACATCCCCGAGGGGTCCCTGATTATGAAAGGGCCTCTAGTATGCATATAAGATCTTTGGTTAATCTCTTCCCGCCCTTCCCCCACCCCCTTTCCCTTTGAGATTCATCAGTCTGTTCCATATTTTCATGCCTGTCATTTCCGCTCCTGCTTTGAGCATCTGCCCCCTGGTTGTTATTATGTGTCATAGCTACGGAACAGATGGCCGTGTTCCAGTCAGCCAGTTGCTTAGGTTTTCATATATATAGATAGGTGTGTGTGTGTGTGTGTGTGTATCCAAAAGTAGGCTTACAGTTGTGTGTATGTGAAACAGAGTTTTGTTCCGTGTGTTTTTGTTATTGTTTGTGCTAATCCTCAGCTGAGGACATTTTCCCATTAATTTTCAGAGAGAGTGAAAGGGAGGGGGAGAGAGAAAAATCAATGTGAGAGAGACACATCGATTGGTTGCTTCCGTATGCACCCCTTGACCAGGGCTGGGAATCTAGCCTGCAACCCAGATTCGTGCCCTTCACTGAAATAGAACCCAGGATCCTTTAGTCCACGACCAACAACACTCTATCCACTGAGCGAGACAGAGACAGACAGACAGACTGAGAGCACACTTGCCATGGATGGGACTTTTTATATTTACAAGCTTACAAGTCAGACATCTTTACAAGTTTCCTCTCCACTTTTCTGAAGAAAAGATTCTGATCTCTTATCTATTTTACATGGGCAGTAGGAAAACTCATTCCCGAGCCCTGAGGAATACTGCATGCTTGAGTTCAGCATAAGGCAAAGAAATTTACACTAAAACAAGAGATCAGCAGTTCAGGCAGGTGAGTGATTTTCTGTTGTGTAAGTTCAACTTTAGGTCAGTGGTTCTCAAATTTGCATGTGTGTCAGAATCCTCAACTGGAGAGCCTGGCAACACAGATCGCTGGGCCCAGACCCAGGTCTGATTCAGATCCAAGAATCCGCATCTGTGATACATTCTCAGGAGATGCTGGTGTTGGTGCTCCATTTCTATATTAAGAAAACAACTGCATTACATAGTTCATAGGCAAACAAACAGTGAGAACAAATAAACTGTATACAAGAGGTTTGTGTTCTCAAAGGAAATGCCTTCGCAAAACGGCAGGGATGGCTGTTTCTGATGCACAGCTCCTTGGCATGGACAGAATTCTAGCCACACTCCACCGAGGACTGGAGAAAATGTGTATTTCCTGCACAGTCCAGCAGAATGGCTTTTAGTGACCAGACATTGCTCTGGAAGGTTTTTCTTCCAATGACTAGCCCAGTGGTCAGCAAACTGTGGCTCGTGAGCCACATGCAGCTCTTTGGCCCCTTGAGTGTGGCTCTTCCACAAAATACCGACTTCTGCGCCCGCACGTGGTATTTTGTGGAAGAGCCACACTCAAGGGGCCAAAGAGCCACATGTGGCTCACAAGCCGCAGTTTGCTGACCACTGGACTATCCTTATAAACTAGGTTAAATTTATTTTCCTTTCTGCACCTCCATTGTTTTCAAGTATAAAATGGGGAGAAATATCTACCATGCTGAATCATTACAAATATTCAAGAAAATAATATGGCAAAGACCTTAGCATGCTACATGGTATATAGTCAGTGAAAATAAATCTAAGTTCCTTTAACTTAGTGAAGATTCATATAGGATGATTCTTAGGACGTGAACTTCAGCTTTTTCTTTTGCATACATTAGGAGAGCAATATTCCAAGAACGGATCTCCAAACTGGTCATCTATTTGGGCCATCAAGAAAGGAGAGAGGCTGGGATACTACTCATGAGACCAGCCCCAATGAATCATGTAAATATGACACGACATATTTTAGGGCAGGATGAAGGAAGAGAGGGAAACTCTATCATTGGGTTTAGATGTCAACATCATCTCAGAAGCAAGGAAGGCATTTAAACTAATTAATGCATCTGAAGAATAGCAGAGAGGCTGTCTCTGTGGCTAGTAATAAAGGCAGGTCAAATTTTTATAGAAATATTCCCAGCTGATGTCTCCACTATCCTATAGAAAATATAGCTTTGGATAATTAAGCAAGGTACTAAATAGCAGTCTCTCTGTCTTCTAAGGGAAGATATTTGGCCAGATGGGTTCTGAGTTGTCTGGCCACCTCTGAAAAGAGATTTCTCTGTTCAGTTTTGGAGTCTCCTCATTAGGACTGGCTTTGCCATTGAATTAACTAAAAAGAAACATGGGTGTGTGTGTGTGTGTGTGTGTGTGTGTGTGTGTGTGTGTGCGCGCGTGTGTTTTTCCTGTAGACCAGAATCTTCTTTTAAAATATATCTTTATTGATTTCAGAGAGAAAGGGAGAGGGAAAGAGAGATATAAACATCAATAATGAGAGAGAATCATTGATCGGCTGCCTTCTACATATCCCCTACTGGGGATTGAGCCTGCAACCCAGGCATGTGCCCTTGACCGAAATCAAACACAGGATCCTTCAGTCCTCAGGTTGATGCTCTATACATTGAGCCAAACCAGCTAGAGCTATACCAGAATCTTTGATACAGGAAAACAAAAACTCTTGAGAAAATAATTATATCATTTATTGAACTTAAACTAGACTCAAGAAGGAAATCCTAATAAAATTTTCTTTTAATTATTCACTTCAAGGTTATAATAAGGTAGAATCTGGACTGATCACATTTTTTATTTCTTTAAATTATTATATAAAAATCTATATTTAAATGTTTAAAAGTTCCTAGATAACTCCTAACTTTCAAGATGCTTTATTTCTGAATTGCCATGTCACATAGTAATGAACCTAGAATCTTGCATTAATGTCACAGAAAATCTACCTTTGGCTGACGAGAGAAACTCCTCAATTAAATTAGAAGATAATTTAAAATTTCTAACTAGATCAAACTAATAGAGGTGGTAGAAGATAATAAGCTATCCATGTTAATAAGGATTCAAGGCTCATGTTATGGGGAAAATATGTCCTATAATTCTAAAGACTGGAGTTGAAACCCCAGTTTCCAATTTACTAACAGTGCAACTAGAATGTATGCTTGACTTTCTGAGTCAACTGACACATCATCCCAGCGATTTACCGAAAACATATAATAAAATGACTCGCACATAATACTTGATCCCTACTTTCCACCCCACCCCCTTTTTCCTAATGTTCTCAAAACTCTGGGACAACTAAGCTAACCTATAAGATGGAATGATGTTAAAAACAATACCCAGGGTTTACCACATACTATTGTATATTATAATCATTATTGTTGATGTTAATATAATAGCTAATAAAACCGTCTATCATTACTTGTACAATTTATTTTGTGCCAAGCCCTTTTAAGGATTTCCTAATTTAATCCTCACAATGTTCATAACAGGTATTATTAACTTCATTTTCAACGGAAAGAAACAGATTTAGAGTGCAAATAAGTTTCCTGACATAGCATAGCTATAAATTGCAAAACAATGCAATCTTATTGTTCAACACAATAATCTCTGGAGAGATTGCAGAACTCAATCTCAGATGCCATGTTAGAAGTCCAATCTGGATAAGACATAGGAGAACCATAGTTTTGTAGGGATATATTCTGGTTTAGTCATACTTCCATAGCATCCTATCTAGATTAACATGTGTGTAAGATTTTAAAATTTTAATAAATTACAATCAATAACAATTGCATCGAAACAAGCCATCTAGCAGCGTGTAAATCACACGCACAGTGAACATGGTTCTCACTTTAACACATGGTTAAATATAAAGACCACATCTCTCCCGACCCAGACCCTTTCCTGACAGACTAGACATCCCTTTCAGAAAGTACACCGAGCACTTTCTGATAGAACCAAGTGTTCTCAGATAGAAGCATGAGGTTCAGTCTATGCTTTCTGATCTCAGATGGTGGTGGGAGAAGGATTTGATATCCCTGCATGGAATTTGGTGCACCGGACAGTGGTTCTGTAGGTCTTGCTGTGGACAAGCCAGTGAGTAAGTGGGAAATATGGGCAATTATACATTAGGTGTGTGTGAAGTACGTGCAGGAACTACAGGCTGACCAATCCAACTGCAGACAATGGTCTGAACACCCTTGCTACAGTTGTTCTCTCATGTATTAAATAGTCTAAATCAAAGATGATTTTATTGCTTGGCAATGCTTTCTGAGTTTATAAACCCTTTCAGAAGCAATGATCTGAGAAGAAATTAAGAAAATACTTTAAAAATTAGACAAAATTTGGTTCTTGCACACATGCTTGTCAACATTTACTATCCATCACAGGAAAAACAGTGAGATCCCCGACCCAGTCTAAACAGGAAGATATGAATCTGCAGAAGAAACAACAGCATCTACCTCCAAGGTTAATAGTAAATTTAATAGAAATATGGCCCAACAACAACTTAGAATACACAGCTGCAAAAGGTGCTACATATCTCCTTGTGATGTATGACTTTTCATTGGGATCAAATAACCCTTTGTTTAAACTCATTTTGCTAATTTTTAATTCTAAGATTTCTTAGACACAAGTGAAAAGTGAATCAATAGCTGTTAATAGCTTCATCAGCAGTACCCACACTTTGTAATTAGTCCCATTCTTTGAATTCTATTTCAGTGTCTCAGAGGTTTCTATTACAAATCAGTGAATTTCAATAATATATTTTAATTTTATTTGTGAATCCGAGATGAAACTTTAAAAAATCCATTCTGTTGAAAGTGAAAGATCTGATAATGTTGATGATTTTTAAAATGGAGTTACAACGTTTGACATTGAAGGTGATACTATCCTTGTAATATAAACACAACTTTTGCTAGAGCAGTGTCATGAAGAACACAGTATTTTTACTCATTGAAGTGTGCCCAATTATAGTGTCTACAGAAAAATATCTGCAAATATCTCCCATCCCACATGCTCTTCTTATGTGACCTTGACATTCCTCCCATGAACTATTTGGAATATATGTTCCCTGCCTTACATTCAAGCAAACATTTGTTATTCCTCTATTAGAACATGGCAGGTGTCATTATGTGACTTCCAAATCTTGATCAAAGTACCATGCATTTCTGCTTAGTTCCCTTGAGACATCTGCTCTTACCATCTAGCTGCCATGCAGAAAAGAAATCCAAATAAGCTCATTCAAGGGGACCACTGCTGATGTGACATATAGATGTTCCAGAAAACAGCTCAACTGAGGTCCTAGTCAACAGTCAGCTTCACCTGCAAGATATGTGAAGACTCTTCCAGATAATTCCAGCCACCAGCTGTTGAGTTCAAGTCTTCCTGGCGGAGACCATGGACAAGCCATCCCTACTGTGCCCTGTCCAAATTCTTCACATAGAGAATCTATAAGCATCGCAATGCTGTTGCATTATGCTAGGAAGTGTTTGGGCTATTTGCTATGCAGTAGCAGCTAAACAACACCTTAAGATACCTTAAAGAAATGCATTTCGAATTCCAATGCACATATCATTGAAAATGGTTTTCAAGAAAGCTATAATATTCTACAAATTTAAATAAAGGCTTTAGTTGTCCAAAATTTTTAAAAGTTTTATGTCTAAGCTTTTAGACTAAATGAAATATAAAATTTATGAGGGAGCGGAGATTTAACTTAAAAACTGTTTAATAAAGACAGTGGTATTCAATTTTTTCTTTAACTGCTCAGCACCATTTTTTTAATTAACTATTTTTGGTAAGAATACTTAATATGAATCCAACCCTGTTCACAAAATTTTAAGTAAACACATTACTTGTAATGGACTAAAAGGATGCAACATTTATAAAACTATTTGCGTAGATACATCTCCACATTTCAAACAAAACTATAGTGTAGTGAGAATATTCTCCATTTCTTTCCATTTAGCAGAATTTAATCTTATATACCTGGTATATCAGCACCTATAGAGAAAACATTTTCTCAACTAGAAAACATGATGTCAAATCCACTAAAGGTATCAATAGCAAATGTACTAATGAAAAAAATGCAATTGTGAAGATGATTTCAGTCAATATTTTAAAAATAAATCAAAATATATAAGAAAATTATTCTATAGAAAATTTCTAATATATATTCAGAATAGGCAACACTAGAAATATGATTAATGTGCATAACCACATACCAAAGTAATTATTATGTCTGTTACTTTAATGTTCAGATCATTAATGAGAAAACCTTTTTAATTTTGCTTCAATGTATATCAATATGTTTCTTTAATTTTTACAAAGAATGTTTTATAAAATAATTTTAAATAGGACATTTTATGTCTACTAATACAATAAACCAGTTTTTAGTCAATAAAAATTCAAATATATATAAAATAAAGGGGACATAAATCTTAATATCAATTATAAATAAAATGTTCAAATATATATATGTGTGTGTGTGTGTGTGTGTGTGCAATTATCTTTAGTGTCTCCTTTATTTTCAGAAGCCTCATAATTTGTACAAGTTATATGACTGCCCTAATAAAAAGAGGCCATATCTAATAATTATTAAAAACTAAGCCTTCTGCTTTCACTGCGGGTCAATAAAATAGGTAGAATTCTCTTATCATAAGGCAATAAGCTTTGGGAATTCAAATCTACTCAGTAAACACAATTGAGAAAATAAATGTCTCTATAGCAGTTCTCCAGCCCACAGATTGTGGTCTGATGAAATGCTGACAGCGGAATTGGTTTTGTAAGTAGCAACGCTACACAGGGCAGAGAACGTGCTCAAGTGCGCAGCGGTAGGAATCTGTGATGGTCATGTTGGTGGGTGGTGACTGCTCTCTCACCACTCTCCTGCTCTCACCCTAATGACTCACCCATCTGCTTCTTACCCATGGGCTTCCAGACAGCATGCCGAGTGTTCTAGAAACTCAATTATGCTAGCAGGCATCAGACGGCAGGAACTGGGTATTTTTTGAAGTAGGCCAAAGGTTTTCAGCCGTGGTCAGCCCCACAAAATTTAGAAAGAGCTTTCGTTTTCCTTCTATATACAGTAGCAAATTAGGGGCCATGCAATTTAAATTATGTTCATTATACACTTCCTCATTTAAAACTTCACAAAGTCAGATCGCCTGTGGAGCAGAGAAACTGTAATGAGCTGGCTTCTGCCAAAGTTCGGGCAATGATGATTTCAAGGTCATGGACTGGCAGAACGCTGAAGGAGAAATGACTGGCAAATATCAAAGATACAGCAAATGAAAGTGTATTCCAAGGATTTGTTGAAATCGTGTCACTGTTAGAAGTCGCTGAAGTAGGTTTGCGGGTGTGAAATTAGCAGGGTGGTGAACAAATGCTGCTTTGTAAATGATGCGCGTGGCTAAGGAACCAGAATATTTTGCAGCTAATCTGAAATGGGAATAGACAGCAAGAAATTGGGAAAGGGGAAGAGAAAAGAGGAAGTATTTATCTTTCCTTGCTACTTCCTCAATCAGAATCACTAAAGAAATATCCACATTTCACTGAGTATATACTGATGGCCTCTTATCTCAAATCCACAGCCCAGAGGAGAATCAGCTAATAATGATATGTAACCATTTTCATATTTCCACATATTTCTGAGTCCTAGTTGGAACCAAACACACACATTCCAACTGTCATAGGGTTCATTTTATAGTCACCAACAGGCAAATACCTGATGCAGAGAGTGACAGGTGCTATTTTACAGGGATGATCGGGAAAGATATTTGAGCAAGAAACCATAATGAAGTGACGAGCCATGTGAATATCTGGGAAACGAGGGTTCTGGGGCAAAGACAGCAGCCCTTGCAAAGGCCCTGTGTCTGAGGCATGCTGAGGAACACTGAGATAGAAATGTGCCCTGGCGTGGACGGAAGGCTAGCAAGAAGGGTAAGAAATAAAGGAGAGATGTACCAGGTACATCACAAAATACAAAAATCTAGCATCTGTTAAGCTAGTATTTTAGAGTATAGAAGTCAATATCCTATATAATAAGAGAGGAATATGCTAATTAGCCATTACACCCTGAGGCATAACAACCAAGACCATAAGGACCAGATCACAGGTCAGCAGGAGGGTGGCCCAGCGAGGTACAAGCAGACTGTGGAGAGCTACAGGATGGGGCAGGGCAGCAAACTATGAGGGGGGGGGATGGGGGAGGGGGGCTGGAGGAGCTACAGGAGGGTGGGGCAGTGGGCGGAGAGCTACAGGAGGTCAGCAGCAACCTACTGGCTTTAAGCGGGCGGCAGAGAGCTACAGGACGGGGCAGGGCAGCAAGCAAGTGGGAGGTGGAGAGCTACAGGAGAGGGCAGGGCAACAAGCTATGAGGGGGACAAGGCAGCAGGCGGAGAGATACAGGAGGGTGGGGCAGCGGGCAGAGAGCTACAGGAGGGCGGCAGCAACCCACAGGCGCACGGATTCATGTGCAGGGCTACTAGTATATATGTAAGTATTGTTAAAGCTGGCATTGCAGAGGCAAAATCAGTATTTCCAATAGCCCACACATGTTCAAAGTACACATATGGCACCTAATACTGTCTTGACTGTCTACTCTGCCATGCCCTTTAAACAGACCTGCCTTCCAAGCATCCCAGAAGGTGGCCAGGACTTACTTCCACATGGCATTTCAGCATCTGCTTTGCTAGCTCCTGGTGGGCCACCAGCTGTGGGCACCTCTCTCTATGAGGAACCCTTTTGGACCCTGCATTTTAGCTTTACCCACAGAACAAGGGCAGGTGTTTCCACCCTGCCCAGCCTTCTCTCACTTCACACTTGTCTCCATCACCTCCCCCACACATATTCACACCCACCTGCACCAGGTTGTTCCAACAAAACGAAGACTACAACTGGTTATTTGAACGATTCAAATAATTAATCTTGATAGTGGACAGAACCCTAAGGAAATAAATTCTTTTTATTTCCTTAGTCTTTTCTGATGAGCCATAACATTTGAAAAGCTCAGTGAAATCAAACATCACCTGGACAAGGTTATGGTATGTTCATTTTCTGTTGGATGTTGATTATTGAAAGAAGTTCTTTTTATTCCTGTTTCTTATTTCTAAGTTATGCTTATTTCTAATTTAGTTGCATCAACCTATTCCCCAGGACAACAGCATGTTAAAGAATTGTGAGTATGTGTTAGATGAATGAAAAAGGACCTTCCTCTTCATCCCTGCCCACCTTCCCCCCACCCCCCACCCTCAAAATATTTTCCATTTACAGAGCTCTGCAAAAAGCTGATCATTGGAAAGTGAATACTCAAATATCCTGCACCTGAAAACAGATATGATACAGGGTTGGGCACAAGTAGGTTTACAGTTGTTTGTATGGAAATTAATATAATCATTAATAAATAATAACCATACAAGGATAAACTCTGTGTTTCCCATACCCACAACTCTAGACCAACTTCTGCCCCACCCTGTATTTTCACCTGATATTTAAGTGGTGCTTTCTGTGTTAAAGACAAGTGGATAGCAATCAATCCTCCAGAAGCAATAAATAACTAATGCTGCAGTAGTTAAAACTGAGGCAACCAGATGTGACTTAGGAATCTTTCTCCCCAAGCAGAAACAAATATGGACAAGCTGGCAAGTTCACACAGGAAATCATGGATTGATTTCCAGGAGCCCAGGCTACAATGCTTTGCAGAGGCTGTTGGAATCCAGCATCTTCATCTTTAAAGTTATCAATAAAATAGAGGCCTGGTGCATGAAAATCCATACACTCAGTAGGGGTTCCCTCAGCCTGGCCTGCACCCTCTTGCAGCCCAGGACCCCTAGGGGGATATCCACCTGCCGCTCCCAGGGAGCAGGCCTAAACTGGCAGTCAGACATCCCTCAGGAGCCCTCAGGGTATGTCCGACTGATGGCAGGGAGCTGGCCTAAGCTGCAGTTGGACATCCTTAGCGCTGCTGAGGAGGCAGGAGAGCTCCCACCACCGCTGTTGCACTCACAGCTGTCAGCCTGGTTTGTGGCTGAGCAGAGCTCCCCCTGTGGGAGCTCACTGACCACCAGGGTGCAGCTACTGCATTGGGTGTCTGCCCCGTGGTGGTCAGTGCACATCACAGCAACCAGTCATTCCTGGTCGTTCCGCCATTAGGGTCAATATGCATGTTACCCTTTTATTATATAGGATACATCAAGCGGCATTGCTTCCTATCTCAACCCCAGGGTATCTTCCCATTAACCTTCCTCCATTCAAGGAGAGCACATTCCTTTCCAGAAGCTTGACCATTGGGTTTTATCTATGACAAGATTCTGCTTCTTCGCTCATCATTATTTATTTCTATGATAACTCATTTATGCTAGAACTTATCAAGAGTCAAACAAAGCAAGAGAATATATGTTAAAAAATTATTATCCACAATTTCATTAATTTTTCTTTTATGTCCTGAAAATTCCCATAGATTAGAAACAGCACGAGCTTCAGGAACTACTCTGTGGTTCTGATAATGCATACTTTGAGGATTACAAATTTGGGTTTTTAAATATCATGCTAATATTTCTTAATTAAATCTCCTTATCATGTTTAAAAAGCTTCAGTAAAAAGTCTTGGTCTGAAATTCCTGAAATCTCTTTTGATGAGAAATGCTTTCATAGACAAGGCAATAAATAAATGAATGAATAACTCCCAACCATTTCTCTATCAACATCATTTCTTTGCTAGTTCTGTAGTTTTGTAGCCCAGGAAAAAAATACCACTGAGGTGTATTGAGTTGATATGACTGTCTTGAGGTTTTTTTGTTTGTTTGTTTTGTTTTTCTAGGTTTCTTCTTGTAAACTGTGTTTCTTATGAAGTATCACCTGACTCATTTCCATTCAAGATTTCTCTGTTAAAATAAATGTCTCTATTTGGAAAGAACTCAGATTATCAATGTCTGTTAAAATAAAACAAAGAAACCTACTGGTATTGGATAACCAGTCACCTACTTACCCATATCCTTCAAGCAACAATATTTTATAAAAATTACCTATTATTTTTTTCTACTCTTTTTCCTTCTTGCTTTTTTTAGAAGTAATTTGCTTCAAGTTCACCAACTAACTTTGGTTTGCTTCTAATGGTGGATACAATATATCATAGTTTGAGACTTTGGGTCAGTGGAGAACAATGATATGAGTAAGAAAAATAAACTGGTTTAGGTTGTAAAACCTTGATATAAAAAAAAAAAAATCTGTGATCTGCTCTGAGTGCTCCCATGCCACATTTCTAATTCTCACCTGTCACTTTGGTCACTTCTTTGGCATTCCTAAATGACCCCAGGACATCTCAATCTCAATCAGTCCCAGGTGACTTTTGAACACATTATTACCTGAAAGGTCAGCTTAAAAGGACATCAGTGAGAGCCTACTAAAACTCAGAAAATGTTTCTGAATGTGAGAAGTCAGCTGACAGGGCTCCCTCTTTGCACATACCAACCAATAGAAACGGGTTCTCCCAAGGGTAGCTATTTCATTTAAAAAGGAAATTATCCCTGAAGGAAGATGGAGTTATTCCCAGCCCCAGCTTTTGACAGAATCACTATTTTTGAGATGCATTAACTGCCTGGAAATTCACTGTGCATATATAGGAAACAGAAATACTGCACATAAAAGTTAGAAACCACTACATTTAATGTAATATTACAGATATTACCTTAAACTTTCAGGAAAGGCAAAAAAATTACAGAGAGTATTAGTAATGTGGAGGGTTCTCAAATATTTAAAACAGGACTAGCACAATCAACCAGTATTTTTCAGAAGTTTATTGTTCAGAAGAACCAAGTAAAACACCTGGAGGAGTCTGAATGAGAAATTTAGGTAGTAAGTAAGAGCTTTTCATTTAAAATTGAGGTCAATGCATGTTCAGTCTCCTATACCATATAAAACTATGAGACTGGACAACTATGTCAGGGAGAGGGAGAGGGAGAGGGAGAGGGAGAGGGAGAGGGAGAGGGAGGGGGAGAGGGAGGGGGAGAGGGAGAGGGAGAGGGAGAGGGAGGGGGAGGGGGAGGGGGAGAGGGAGGGAGAGAGGGAGGGGGAGAGGGAGAGGGAGAGGGAGGGGAGGGGAGGGGAGGGGGAGGGAGAGGGAGAGGGAGAGGCAGAGGGAGAGGGAGAGGGAGAGGGTGAGGGAGGGGGAAGGGGAGGGGGAGAGGGAGGGGGAGGGGAGGGGGAGAGGCATAGAGGGAGAGGGAGAGGCATAGAGGGAGAGGCAGAGGGAGAGGGAGAGCGAGGGGGAGTAGGTGAGGGAGCAGGAGGGGGAGCAGGAGGGGGAGAGGCATAGAGGGAGAGGGAGAGGGAGAGAGGGAGAGGGAGAGGGAGAGGGAGAGGGAGAGGGAGAGGGAGAGGGAGAGGGAGAGGGAGAGGCATAGAGGGAGAGGGAGAGGCATAGAGGGAGAGGGAGAGGGTAAGGGAGAGGGAGAGGGAGAGGCAGAGGGAGAGGGAGAGCGAGGGGGAGGGGGAGGGGAGGGAGAGGGAGAGAGGGTGGGGGAGGGGGAGAGAGAGGGAGAGGGAGAGCGAGAGCGAGAGGGAGAGGGAGAGGGAGAGGGAGAAGAGAAGAGAAGAGAAGATAAGAGAAGAGAAGAGAAGAGAAGAGAAGAGAAGAGAAGAGAAGAGAAGAGAAGAGAAGAGAAGAGAACATTGACTTGTTGTTCCACTTATTCATGCATTCATTGGTTGATTCTTGTATGTGCCCCAACCGGGGATCAACCCTCAACCTGGTGGTATCAGGACCATGCTCTAACCAACTGAACTACCCAGCCAGGGCTTATGTTCTCTATTTCTATACGTAGCGATGTTGCGTTCTTTAGTACCAGGATTCAAACTTTGGCTTTATAATTAACTGGTCCCACTCACAGTTTGTCCCATCTTTGATCAATTGTCAAATTATTTTCAGTCTCTACAGTATCTTATTAATTCATTTTCTTATATTTCTTACCATTCCTTCTATCATAGCTCAAACCTCCCCTGCCCCTGAATTCCCTAAAATATTAGAATAGCTTTCTGCTAAGCATGCTCCTAACTTTTCTCATTTTTGTCCATTGTATACACTGGAGCATTGCTAATTATTGCACATCTCTTAATGGACTTCTTATTTTCTTAAGGACAAAATCCTAGCTTTGCTCAATGTCATCTCTTGCTCTGTAAAACAGGCTGATGGAGGCTTCATCCTTGCAAACATTGTTTGGATATGGGAGTGGGAAGAAAACAAGACCCAGATGAACAGTGTATGGTGTAAGAGGAAATCTCATGGCCACACCTAATTTCAAAGGAGTGGGGAGCCACAACCCACCCATATGCCCGGAAGGAGGAGAATCAGACTATTGGGTGGACAGTACTGATGATGATACAGAGCCTCTACTCACACACTTTGACAACCAGAAATTGTTCAAGAGCCACTACAATAGAACTGTGGTTAATCTTGGTGTAGGTCTTTGCCACTATGCATGAGGATCTTGCTCCTACTGCAAAGGAAATTATCCTTTGTAATTCTGCCAACATGGCTTTATTATAAGAAATTGATAATGACCTTATAAACAAGGAAACTTATAAAAGGCTTGTGATATGAAAGAATAGCATCAACTAGCTAAGTTTTAATAGTTCGTAATTATAGAAGGCCTAGTATGGGCAAGATGCAAGACTTTGTGAATAATTTATTTAATCCCCAAATAGACCCTGAAACAGTATCATTATTTCATCACTATTTTACAGAGAACAAAATACATCATTAAAAATACTTGTCAAATTGTTTCCACTGAAGCAAGGCATTGCCCTGGTTAAAAGGGCTGGCTCTTGGGTCAGACTTCCTGGTTTGGATTCATACTCTATCACACACCTGCTGTGTGAGCCTGGGGGCGTTCTTCAACTTCTCTGTGCCTTTATTTTGTTCTCTGTAAAATAGTGATGAAATGGGCTAGAGAGCCCTGAGATCCTTTATTAAAGGACTAATGCCATTCATGAGGGCTCCAGCTTCCTGACCTAATCACCATATGAAGGAAGTCCTCACCGTCTAACACCATCAACACTGGCAGTTAGGAGTCCAGCATGTGCATTTTGTGGGGGACACTGACATTCATACTATAGCATCTGCCTACTTGGGTCTAGGCACTAATACCTCAACTCAACAATACTTTCAAGAAAATATACACAAGCAATGACAAATCAATCACTCAAGCTGAATGTGAAAAGAAAAAATAATTGGTGTATTTTGAGTGAAGAATATCATTTAAAAAAATGTTGGAGAAGGGAGTAACCTGTTCCATAATATGTAATCATGGCTGCAACACAAATCTTTTTCTAATGTTATGGCACAGGTTTAAAATCCTATGTGAATTTAACAATAATTTTGCCATTTCACCATGCCTTTACTTCTTTATTGTATTTGTAAAATAATTCAGCACTTCGATCTGCATGCCTGTATTCTATGCTAAATTTTATGCTTAGTGAACAACTGCATTTAGTAACCAAGACACCGAATTTAAAGCTTGCCTCACTTCCAATGCTGGGTAGCAATCAGGCATAAGTTTAATGATAAAATCAGGAACGTTTGCAAGATTTGAAGGGTCATTTGTCTTGCAGGAGCAATAGCCAGAACTGGAAACAAGAAATGAATTACATTTTAGCAATTAGGCTTTTCTAATCCCTTTCATTTGGCTTTAGTCAGGCTCTAATCTGATGAATTGAAAATATGTCAGGCCTTTCAGTACAACAACAAATATTTTCTGGCATTTCTCTGGCTTGAACAAAACTTTGTTTCCATGGATGCTAGTTATACAGCTTCCAGATGTTCAGCATCACAGCAACAGAACCAAAAAAATAAAAATAAAAATCCATTTCTTTGGCTGCTGGCCTTTTAACACGGAACATAAAGAGAAACCAATGGATGTGACATTGGTGCGTGATCGCTCTCCCGGGGAGCCTGATACAGCCTTACTGATCTCCGCAGTGCTAAGGAGCAGCCTTTCAAGACAATGCCACTGGCAGGCTCACATAGGAAGGACAAGGAGGTTCAAATGGAAAGGGTGCTCTCATGTCTTTTATTGAAAGAGCTACAGTTTTACCTGGGAATAGCCGGACTCTGAGCTTAATCTTTTGGTTAATTCCCAGATATCTGTGTGAAATACTCAGTAAGATCACCAATGGTCATTTCAATAGAAATGAGAAGACTACCTGAGCTGACATGTATTTGGTCATACGCCTGAGAAAAAATAATTACCTTGTTTTAACGCAGCCACACAATATGTGGACTGTGCTGGAACAGTGCAGCGTGCATGGAATTAATGAGCTTCTTGAGGGTGGAAACTAAGAGTCTTTTTCCTTTCATCTCTGTATCTCCAATATTCAGCATAATGTCTGGCCCACTGTAGATAATTTTTAGAAAAGATTTTAGAATCAATCAATGTTTTGCCTCTACAAATTATATAATGACTTCCATTTATTGCCATAAGTATATTGGTCTTAATATTTAAGGAGTTGGTTATTAGCAATCTACAAGGGAAACATAATGAATGCAGAGCTAGATTGTGGAATACTCTATGATTCAGAGAATGAGCAAAAGTCAATAAACACCTTGCATTAGTCTATTGTAGGCTGGAAATACAATGTAGAATTCTGTATAGAAGACCATAGTACAATTTTGCAGCCTCAATTAACCACTCTAGTTTATGCTCACATGAGATTAACTTTATATTCAATGATGAAAATCCCTTTCCAGGGACATACAGATCACATTCATTTGCGCGTATTTATAATTGTTTGTCTACTGCTTGGATACGCACATGTTTGTGTGTGTGTGTGTGTGTGTGTGTGTGTGTGGTACCTTAAGACAAATTTTAAACCTGGGCGGGATCTAACTATAGGAAAAATACACAGATCAGCGCCCTCTCTTCCCAAACAAAGTGATAATAGTTTCAACACTAAAGAATAGTGCTAGGCAAACATCTATTTTTGTCTAAAATCTGTTTAGTAATATAGGTAGATTGGAATTCCAAATGATTGAGTTAATTTCATTAACTCACATGACAGACAATAATGGGTTGCTCAACCTAGTCTTCAGCAAGTGCGAAATGACTAGCTCATTAATTTAAAAAGCAGGTGAATTATCTAGCGAGCTGAATTAACATTATCAGCAAACTGCTACTGGTACATCGAACCCAACTTTTGAAAACTCAGGAAGCAGATGAGAACTCTTGATATATTTAACAACCAGAAATATTTCTTAAATGCCTCATTCTCTGCTACTGAATCAAATTTTTTTGGTTAATCAGCATCCCAATTTAACTTTTGATTGGACACATCGGCTTCTTCCTCCCAACCCCCCCTCTCCCACCCCCATCAAGGGGCTATAACCATTTCATGAGCTGTTAACTTATAATATACCTGCTCAGTTCAACTTTCATTTTTCACAGCTTTTTAAAGCTCAACTAACCCTTGTAGAAACCTAAGTGAAACAGCTATATAACAAATGAAAAGACAAGCCACAGTCTTAGAGAAGATATTTGAAATATATATTGCAGATAAATCAAGACAGAATATATAAAATACTTCCACAAAACAATAAACACAAAAAAATCTGAAGAAATACAAATAACCAGTAAACTTGAAAGAACTTTAACTTCATTACTGATTCAGGAAATGTGAATTAAAGGTGAAATATCTTTTATAGCTATCAAATTGATGAAAATGATTGATTAAATGGTTTGACGATATCTAATATTGATATTAAGATATATAACTTGTGGGAAGTGGCACAACTCTCTGGAAAGCGATTTGGCAATACTCAATAAAATTAAGATGTGCGTTCTAGCTTTCATACCAACAGAACTACTGCTAGATTTATATCCTAGAGAAACCGCTGCCCAAGTTCACAAGTGACATGCCCTTACATGTTAACTGTAGCATGGTTAGTAATAAGAAAAAATGGAAAACAACTTGTTTTTCAGGGAAGTAGAAAAACCCTGGGTATGTATGTGTGTTTATGTGTTTGTCTTATATTATGGTTAAAAATAACAAACCACAATCTACATGTTAAAATATGGAACGTTAAAAGAACATAGTGTTGAGTGTGTAAGGCAAATTGCAAATGGACATCTTCAAGAATCACTAAATACCTGCTTTGTTCCAGTACTTATCCATGGTGTGTGCTAGGAGTGAATAAATCAGTGAATCCTATTTCCCTAGCAAATCATTTATATTTTCTGGCAGAAGTGGTAACACTTTTAACTCAGTGTGGTTCGTAACTTTGACCATGGCCTGGGAGCCCACCCCAGAGGTACTGACTCCAAAGCCCAAGAAATTCTCATCCAAGAATTTCTTCACCTCAGTTGTTTTCTGCTATTCAGGCATTCTCTGCCACTCTCTGTAAAGGGTGGCAAAAGGCTTTAGCCAGGCCAACCTTCACTGAGATCAGCAGCACCTGGCATCCAGTGCTTTGGGAAAACAGTGCTACATTAACTAGAAGAGCCTGGAGGCTCCTGTTGGCTCCAGCAACTGCTGTATAATAAAATATTCCATTACAGATAGTCTCAAGTTTAAAGGGCCTCAAAAGATTATATGGAAAAGAATGGCATGGGGATAAAGTACAGTCTTAGAGGTTGAGTGTGTAAACTGCAGAGCTGAATTTTGGAAAATACAAAACCATTTGGGAAAATTATGGCAAAATATTCACATAAGCTCTCCCCCGCATCTCACTTTTAAGCTTAAGTATTGGTTCCACTCAGACCAGGTGCAAAGTTGAGACTCTTATCAAAGCTGATTTTGTTCTTTTGCCACCAGTGCTCATTGGGAGTGAGCAGGCTACTTTATTTCTACATTTCCTATGGTTATGTCTCCATTTACATCCTTTTTCCCTCAGCAATATAGGCTCATCTAGTAATATCTTCAGAAATGTAAAATCTAGGGTCCTATTTATCTAGTCATTGAAAGTCTATAAAACAGTAATGTGGAATGTAAAATGTTCAGTGATTCTAAAGGGAAGAAAATTCTATATTTGACCTTATTTCCACTGTTCCATTCATCAATGACACAAAAACTATTATCAGCTTGATCATTTCACATAAATAAGGATTGAATCTCTAATGAGGGATTAAACTAAAATTACTTTAAAAGCCAGTATATCCAAGTCAATGCTTTATAAAACTTGGACTTGGATTATAATTTTGCATGTCATCTTTTTCATGTAAGAAGATTTACACATCCTATGATAGCACTAACCTTTTCAAGTGGCAAGTACACTTCATATATTTAAGTAATTATGAATTATGACCTCTAAATTATGGTATCTAAAAAAAATCAGAGAAGTGTGGGGAAAATGGGAGAATGCAAATGATTGTAGAATGTGACTTTATTCTAGTTTCAACCCTTTTGTGCTTAACTCAATAATATTTTTATATCTGGTACTTTCAATTAAGTGATTCTAATTTCCTTTAGCTTCACAGATCATAGGTAGATGTATAAACAAACTAATTAGTTAATTCATCATTATTTATTGAGTACTTACTGTTTACCCAGTATATGGTGTTTGGGGGCCCTAATGGTGTTTAGGAATTTAGGAATTTACACTGTGTCCCATAATAACACCCATTCATTCAATCATTCAGTAAACATTCATTAAGTAGCATCTCTGATATTGAGACAGAAAGGTGAGCCAGAACCAACGTCTTTCCTTGGAGAGCAAGGGGGTGGGGAAAGAATGACCCATAATTGTAATACAGTATAGGAAGCACTAAGATGAAAGTCTACAGGAGGTACAGTGTGGCACAGAAGTAGAAGGAAGGCAATTCAGTGATCCAGCAGCTGGATCTTGGAGGAAAGAGTGTGGCAGTGTGAACAGTAGAGGTAGAACACAGTTACTAACACATCGAAGGTAGGGAAAAGCATGTGCAAACACAGGGAAGTCCAAACATGTAACTGCGAGTGGTTTAGCTGGAGCTTGGTGTTGGACAAGAGGTCCTACAGGGCACAACATGTCACACCGTAGAGTTTGGGCTCCATATTACAGGAAACTGGGTACTGTTATAGGGTTTCAAACAGTGAATTTCTTATATTTTAAGAGCTTATCCTGGAAGTACCATGGAGGATAAGCTTAAAGAGAGGAAAGAAGAGATTTGATTCAGAAACACCAGTTTAGAGTCAACATATAATTAAGAAAAAAATTAACAATTTAAATAATGAAGACAGCACATATTTCCTGCATACTCCCTATCTGTCAGTCTCCACAGTAAGCAAGTCTAGAAATTATCTCTGATTTTTTTCATCCACACATCCCACTCCCTCTGATGTTTACAGCTTCAGTGTGTGCATTTTCTAGATGTGAAAATGAGACCCAGGGAGATTAAGCAATCTGAACAAGCTAGTAAGTGATAGAGCCAATAATCAAGCCTGGGGAGACATTTGAGAGCTTGTAGGGAGGCATAATCAAGAGAAGAACAATGAATGAGATGTAGGAGATAAGCAGGGGGAGACACAGGAAGTACTCCACACCTTTCGCTTCCCTTTTCCCCATCCTACCAAGAACATCGGGGCATGTAGGCAAGGGGAGCTATTATTGTTCATAGGAAGGAAACTTACAACCTGACAAGAGTTGTGACTTCCCCGTGGTCGGCAAACCGCGGCTCGTGAGCCACATGCGGCTCTTTGGCCCCTTGAGTGTGGCTCTTCCACAAAATACTACATGCGGGCACGCACATACAGTGCTATTGAATCTTCGTGGCCCATGCGCAGAAGTCGGTGTTTTGTGGAAGAGCCGCACTCAAGGTGCCAAAGAGCCACATGTGGCTCGCGAGCTGCAGTTTGCCGACCACTGGTAAGCAATATGAGCAGGAAGGAATAAATGCTATACCGGCAAGAAGCAAATGCCTGTCTTGGCAATTATACTCCTATCATTCTCACAGAGGTAGCCTCTTTCTAGAAGAAGCAGTAAGAGATCACACAAAAATTCTTCTATACAAGCACAGAATCCATAGGCCCAATCAGAGAATCCTATAATTATTTGAAAAACTGTCAGGTGAAAATTATTCTAGTAAATTGAGGATGCCATACAGCTATGACTGCAATAGCTTACCTTTCACATCCTTCATCCAATTTATATCACACACTCTTTACAGAAATAAAAGTGAAATAAAGAAAAAAAAAGTGTTATAATTAGAGAAAAGCACTGGTGCCATCACAGTGAATAAATTTAAACCTTCTAGCAATAACATGCATATTCCATATGTTTTATGTACATTTATACTATGTTACTGTGAGGGCTTTTAGTTCGACAGGTGTTTTTAAGAATAATTTCTATACAAGTTGACAATATGCAATCAATTGGCAAATGCTATTAGGTGAACTTAATTGACAGATGAAGGAAAATTAAAGC